ATCCTCTGCCTCAGCCTCCGGCGCGCCGGGATGACAGGTGCCACCACACCCAGCTTGTTTTTCATTTTGAGACAGGATCTTGCTAAATCACTAAATTGCCCATGGTGGGCTCAAAATTTCAGTCTTCCTGCTTCAGCCTCCAGAGTATGAGCAGTACAGGTGTGTCTGCCTGCCTGGCTTTTTTTTTGAGACTGGGTCTCACTGAGTAATTAAATTGCTCAGGCTGGGCTTGAACTCAGTGATTTCCCCTGCTGTCCTGCTCTTTACAATGATACAGATTCCCAGGCCCCACCCAGCAGAATCTCCCAGGTGGGGGCTGGGAATTCAGTTGCAGCAGTTCCCCCCTCACCCCACCCACCCTGCAGTTCCCCTCTTCCGGCCAGCTTAGCAGGCTCGCGCTCAGCAGCAGAGTTTAGTCCTCCAGCGCTTACAGCTGGGCGGGTCAGGCGCTGGGCGGCTCCGCGACCTGGCAGCGCGTCTGTGCTCACGGCCCCGCGCACGCTGGACACCGCTGTCCCCAGGAGCTCGGCACCGGTTCGTGCGTCGCGGTCCACTGCGCGGCTCCGGTCCGGTTTGACGCCGCGGAGGCTGGAGGGTCCGGGGCAGCTGCACCCCTGCGCCAGGGCCACTGCCCGGCTGGGTCTGGCTAAGTCTGCGGGCTCCCGGCTGTGTCCTGGGGTCGCGCCCAGCTCCCCTCCGGCAGGGTGGCCCGCGGGGCTCAGCAGCCGGACGTGTGCGGGGGAACCGAGTATCCGCTCCCGTCCGTTTTCAGGCGCCAGTGGAGGGAGGAAACGGAACCGTCGGGATCCAGGGAGTAAAGTGGTCTCCCTGTGCTCCCGGCGCCCCCTGGAGGCCGACGGGGACGGTGCGGCGCTCGCCTGGGCCCGGAGACCGCCGGCTGGACCCCACCGGCTGCTGACGCGAGGCCCGGGAGACGCTGCCCCCTGCCGCCTCGCTCCCGCCGAGCGTGCCGCGTCTCAGGACGGAGCCAGCACCAAGGACGGGAATGACCAGGTGAAAGCCCCCACGTAGCTCCACTTCACCTCTGGCAACATATGTCCCATCTACTCAGGGCCGCTCACGCAGGCAGCGGTGTTTGGACTCATGAGTTTACCTAACAAGCAATCGCACTGTTTCTTTTTAAGACAGGATTTCGCCAGGTTAACCTTGAACTGGAGGTCCTCGTGCTTCAGCCTGCCAGAGCACTGGGATTAAGACATGCCACACTGCACGCTGTTTGCACAAGTCATTTAACGGGAAGGCGTGCACTGCCTGCCATACAGTTTATGCTCAGAACATTTATTCTGCTAACACTGACTGAGTAACGTTGCCAGGTTTAACTAACAAAATCCAGGATGCTGTATGAGGAGCCCCTTGATTTTTTTTTTTGTCTTTTTTTGATGCCTGTACATTTTTTTTTCTTTTTATTGGTACCGGAGATTGAACTCACGACCGCCTGCTTCAAGGCAGGTGCTTATGCCGCTGAGCTAAATCCCCAGCCCCCTTGTCTTTTTTTGAGACAGGGTCTCCCTATGTAGTTCAGGCTGCCTTGAGCTCACTTTGTAGCCCAGGCTGGTCTCGAACTTGCAATGATCCTCCCACCTCAGCCTCCCAAGTGCTGGCATTACAGGCGTGAGCCACTACACCCGGCTCGAGCCCCTTGATTTGATCCCCAGTGCCAAGCCCAGGCAAGGAGAAGATGCTCAGTGTAAGGTGAACAGCTCTTTACTCACTTTGATGCTAAGCACCAGAGGTTTGGAGGGAAATAATACCACAAGGGCTGGGGATTTTGCCCAGCAGGATAAACTCCTGCCTGGCAAGTAAGAGATCGTGAGTTCGATTCCCGATACCCAAAAAAAACCCAAAACACCAAGAATCCTGGCTTCAGAGCTGGGTGTGGTGGCACGCGAGAATTTGAGGCAGGATGATCATCAGGAGTTTGAGGCCAGCCTGGGCTACACAGTGAGTTTGATCCTTGGCACCAAAATTTAAAAAAAAGAAAGAAAGAAAATGTTACATAGGGCAGGGACATAGCACCAGAAAGCAGGGTGGTGGCTGTCACAGAAGAGCCCACAGAGGTGACTGAAAGCTGGGCGGGCCCAGGGCAGGTGCTACGCAGGTGGGGCCAGATGAGGACTGCCCCTCCAGTGACGGCCTCCTCCTGGTCTGTGCGCCAACTCTTCCTGCTCCACTGAGCAGGAAGGCGGCCCCTGCCTCCCCAGCTCGGGCTCCCACCTCACCAGAATGAGCCGTGGCCGAGAGTGGATGCTCACCTGCGCCCCATGCCTTGCCATGGGTCCTCAGACAAGCCTCCCCAGCTCCTGCAGCGCCTCGGGTGTTAGAGGTGTGCACCTGGGGGCTCTGACCTTTGGGAAGCCCCTTCCCAGGACAGTCTCATTTTATCACCAGCTGCGCTGCCTGAGGGTTCTTTTGCTCCATTTGGACAGAAGTCACACCTGGCAAACACTGCTCTGCTAGGGGCTCTGGGCTTTAACCAGGTCCTGCCCTTTGCAGCTCTGGGCCACGGTGCTGCAGCAGGTCAATGTGGCCACCAGTTAGTGCTGGACTCCGCTGGCTGACTGCTGGCCTTTGTCGTGGTCAGCCACGGTACCACAAGGGTTAATGGCTCCTTTTTCGTGGGGAGATAGTGTCTGGCTACGCAGCCCAGGCTCATCTTGAACTGACAGTGGGTGCTGCGGTCTTCTAAGAACACGGCAGAGCTAACACTGGGGAATCCTCAGCGGGGCTGTGCATCACATCCTACTGGGGGTTGGGAATACTAGGGACATTCATGATGGGCCTGGGACCCTCCTGGCCTCTGTCACCCGAGGAGGGTTTGGCTGGTGGCTACACAGCAGTAACTGCAGCAAGAATGACCTGCCAGAACAGGCTGGAGTGCGCCAGGAGTAGGGGACAGGAGGAGGGTGCAGGCCATCAGGGTTGGGGGGGGGGGAGCATGACAGCTGTCAAACCGTGTCCCCCTTAGGTGCCACAGGGAGAGAGACAGGCGCTTGTCTGTCACCTTTTAATGAAGGGCTCAGCTTTATTTTTTAAATGAGACTTTTTTTGGAAAGTCTTGCTATGTAGTCCAGGCCAGTTTTTTTTTTTTCTTTTTCGTTTTTATCGGTACCAGGGATCGAACTCACGACCGCCTGCTTGCAAGGCAGGCGCTTATGCCGCTAAGCTAAATCCCCAGCCCCACCTCTATTTTTTTTAGATCTTGTCTTACTCATATTGTGTTTTTTCCTCCACGTAGAGTGACAATGCTTTTGTAGTATGAAGAATTATTAATCAGATCAAGTGGCATTTGTCTTTTTTCTTTTTTATCGGTACCAGGGATTGAACTCATGACTGCCTGCTTGCAAGGCAGGCACTTATGCCATTGAGCTAACTCCCCAGCCCCAGTCCAGGCCAGTTTTGAACTCACAGCAATCTCCTGCCTCAGCCTCTCAAGTACTTGTGATACCATATTTAGTTGTTTTGATACAAACAAGGGTTTTTCTCTCTAGCATGAGATCCCAGTTGTGCAAATCACAACTCGACTGTGCACAATCTAGGATTCAAATGATCTATGTAATCCAGGCTGGCCTTGAACTTCTTCAGAAACCCTCCTGCCTCAACCTTCTAAGTGCTAGGATCAAAGGCATGTGCCACCATGCCACACCAGATGCTGTGGGAGACAAGTCCAGTGACTCCCTCTGAATCCAAAACAATTGCTGTGACTGATTATTTGGAGACTCATTTCCTTATGCTGACATGTAGAGAGCTGGCTAGGGTATTTCCTTCTCTCCTCAATTGGCTCTAAGCATTGTAAATAAGGCCAGCCGAGGTGCTGGTATGTAATCTCTAAGGCCAACAGACAGTCTAGTTCCCTCACATAGTATTTCCATACAGGATATGAGCACAGCGGGTGTGTCCACTGGCTAGGACTCCCCAGGGAACAAGAGTTTGCATATCAGAAACCAAAGTCAGTCTCCCAAAACAAGTCTGTTGCTACCTTAATTATAGAAGTTGATCCCTCTGCATCTCTCTCACCTGGCCAGCCACCTCAAGTGCCTCATGTAATTCCCGCTATCCTCCTCACTGTCACTCATCCCTAAGCCACCATCCCCCTTTCACAAGCTAATAAATTCTGGAAAGGCGTAGGATCAAGGTCTTTGTCTGAATGTCCTCACAGGAATTGGACTTGGGACCCCTTGGCTGCCCTTAACTTGGAACATGTCTTTGTGTCTTTACTCTTGCCGTGGGCAGCATTGGTGATGTTAGACTGGAATCAACTTGCTGCGATTCCAGTGACGTCTCAATGGGATTACAAATAGCACCTTTTAGATTGTGAGGAAAACTAGAAAGAGGATTACAATACTTGGGTGACTAAACTCATTATTTGGGATTACAATAAGATGCAACTGACTTACACAAAGGTGGCCTGGCATGGATGCAGGAAATAAAAGAGGCCCAAGTGGCCTGAGCAGGCACTGTTACAGTCCACTCCAAGATGGAAGAAAACAGGGAGGGCGGTCAACTGGTGACCCTGAGCTGTCTGGGTGCAGCAAGATCCCTATGGGACCAGAGCACAATGCAGAAGCCCAGGATGGGCACAGCAGCAGCAGCAGCAGCAGTGCCCTGCACACCCCACCCCGGGGTCACCTGGCACAGGGAAGAAACCTGCATCCATGGCGCAGTACTGCCAGATATGAGCAGCAGCAAAGCGCCGAGTACAAAGCTCAAACCTGCCCCGCCGGCCCCCGGGCTGAGCTGGGTGCAACCCCCGCCCTACCAGCCCCAGGGGAGCTGCTGCTTCTGCACCTCAACAAGTCAGTCCTTGAGTCCCCAGAGCCTCCGAATGTGAACACTGGCTGGCCCTGGACGCACTTGCCAGAGCACAGCTGGCAAGGGGCAGAGCTGTGACAATAGGTGAACTTGGGACAGCAGGGGCTCAAAGTAGGCATCCAGGGTTAGACCCCAGGAAATGGCAAATGAACACAGGTGCCACAGCTTGCTGCTTGGATAAGTTATCAAATTTATTTATATTTCACCTTTCAAAACTCAAGAGCATAACAAATCTCGCCTCTGGAAAGTTCTTTTAAGAAATACATGAAGTGCACTTAAGCAATTAAGTCTCTTGGTCCTGCCAGTGAGATGGACACGCTTCTCAGCTGCCTAAAACGTGTCTGCACAAACTTCCCTCCACAGTGCTTAGATGGTCACAGCTCAGGGAGGGCGGTCAACTTTTCCAGAAGTGACAGTGACGCAGCTGACGTAACACTCTCTCCAGTGAAACACATCAAAGTGCATCGCCAAATGGCCCTGTCTTTGCTGGTTACCCGCCACCTGCAGCAAGTTCCTTCTTGGTGGGGAGGGAGGGTCCAAGCCTCCACCTGAACCTTGGATCAGAAACACCGCCTTTCAGGCTAGCGAAGTGTGACAGGAGAGAATGACTTAAATCCACTTAAATCACAAGCCTTAGACTGACAGCTTGACAATCATGAAACATGTGTAACTTCAACGCCTCACCAGATGCTGCCTCCCGCTGCGGGCTTGTCAGACAGGACAGGGCAAACAGCAGCCTCTCTGGCTGACATGGAAACCAGTGCCATAAGGAAAGCATGTGTGACAGGAAAGTAATGCTCATCTAAGTTACCAAGTAGAAAATAAAATCGCCTCCTTAGTTACCCTTCTCGTGCTCCAGCAAGCATGTATGCAAGCTCCCAAACAGAAGCAGGCAGGACTCGGCCCCCTGAAAACACATCCTCACCTGACGATCACAGACGATGCTCTCACTGCCTAGCTGACCCTGCACCTGCCGCTGCCGGAAGAGTACACCTGAACCCTGCTCAGCTACCCACGCCGCACTGAGAACAGGCGTACCTGGCTCTAATAAAGGCACCGTGCAGCATTTAAGATGAACTAGTCCATTCTAAGGATCTGCAGGTCTTAGGAAAAGATCACTAATAAAACTTCTGGTATCAGATCATGTGAAAGTTAGAACATCCACCTCAAGAGGGCAGCTGCCGCTATGCAGGTAGGTGCCGCGGCCTAGCAACAGAGGGATGGAGGGGTGGACAGGGACACCAGGGACATCTGCCCAGCCCGTCCTCTGCGATGCTATGTAACCTGGGACTGGGGTTAGGGGCCGTTTGTGCTATCCGTGATGTGGCAAAGGTCCCAGCTGGCCGAGGACCTGAGAGATTAACAGTAGGCGGGGGGGGGGGGGGGGGGGGGGAGAGCAGGCATGACAGGAGAACAGGAAGATGTGGAGAGCTGCACTGCCTTCCACAAGAGGAAGCGGGAGCTCCCAGAAGTAGCTGAGAGCCCATGAGACTGAGAGTCAAGTGACAAACAAGGTTAACAGGGAGGAAGACAACTTTGGCCACAGCCAATGGACAGCAGAGACTCGATGCCCATCAAAGTGACTGTCCCAACAGCGTGGCCAATTCCAGGGGTGTGTACAGTTAAGGAGCAGGAGTCAAAGGTTTCACACTTTAACATATAATGGAGGCTCTAGAGCACGGGAAGGACAGAGACCGCTGCTCACTGGTCGGTGATGGAGCGCCGCAACACCTGGTTCATCATGTCCTCTTCATCCACTTCGTAATCCTGAGGGTGACAGACATCCCGTCTCAGCAGCGGTTCAGGGGCAAAGGCTCACCCCGGGGTAGGAGCACAACAGCTAACTATGTAACCGGGCAAATGACCTCCCCTCTGCCAGCAGCCTCATCTTTACTGAAAACACTTCCCCCACCGTGCTGGTGGGCCCAGGCAGCAGGTCTTCTCCTGAGATATATATATATATATATCCCCAGACTTCTTTTTTTGAGACAAGGTCTTGCTAAGATTCCAGCAAACCTGCAATCCTGCTTCAGCCTCCCGGAGTGCTGCCAGTGCAGGTGTGTACCACCACGGGCCTCAAATCCCCTTCAGGCACTCTGGCTACCCCTCTGCCAAGAGCAAACACTGCAGAGAGGATGCTGAGGGACTGGAAGCCTGCACATGAGTGACAGGCTGAGCTGCTGGGCCTCTAACTCCCCTGTTGAGACAACCAACACCTGCTGTGTCCCCGGGGAGGAATCAGACTCACCACAAAAGTGTCGTACGAAAACTGGTGGCGGCGCTGGATGTGCTCTATGAAGTTGGCGCTGCGGTAGTTGGGGTCTCCCCAGGGCATCGAAGCACAGATCGGACAAACCTTCCAACAAAGAATTGAGGAGGTCTCAGGGGGCTGATGCTGAACCGGCTCCAGCCTTCTGAGGCCGGAGCCTGGACCCCTGCCAGAACCCTTTTTCTGACCCCCCGACTAGGCCTACTTACTCCTTCCCGCACCCATCAGCATCCCAGAAGACACTGCACTCTCCTGGCTCTAGCCACAAGCCCCACTGGTGTAAGCGAGGGTCAGATCTGTGGAAGCCCAGAACAGGGCCTTGCAAGCAGCACTGAAGATGGCCAAAAAGCACCAGGAAAACCAAGCAAACAATCACATGTGGGGGAAAACAAAGCCTATGTGCAGTAATGCTCACATGACAGGGTGAGGCCACAATGGTCTCATAGCAAAGGCTAACTTGGCTTTGAAGGCTGGGTGATAGGTGGTGGCATCAAGCAAATGGCTAGACCAACTGGGGTGGAAGAGTCATGCAGAGAGAAGAGGATACAGCACCCCAGCTTGGACCTGGGACCCCCTGCAGCTACAAGGGAAACAGTGGGGTGGACGAAGACTGGTGTGGAAGGGCGGAAGGCATGCCATGGAGTTCAAACAGGTAAAGACAGGCCTGAGGGAAGGCAGAAGAAAGCTTCAAGCCAAGGAGCTCTTCCATAGAGGAGCTGAACAGAGGGGCAGAAGGACAAAGGCCAAACCAGAGCCATCGCACAGGTCAGGGGAGGAGGCCGCCGAGAGGTGAAACCCAGCTGCAGAGCAGCTGAACAATGAATGGCTAGCAAAACTGGGAGTACAAACAATTCCTGACCAAATTAACCTAAATAATCTGAGGCTCTCATACACAGGGCTGAGGACAGAGCTCAGTGGTAGACCACTGTTTGGTATGTGCAAGACCTTGCATCTGGTCTTCAGCGCTGGAAATTAAACACACACATAAGCACAAAAACTAATTTGTTAAGATAGGGTCTTGTTATAGTTTGTGCTGGCCTCAAACTCAAGGTGATCCCTCCTGCTTCAACCTCCTGGAGTGCTGGGATTCTAGCTGTATCTCACCATGTCCAGCAAGCAAAAAAAAAAAAAAAAATGATATAAAGGCAAAAGAGCCAGGGATTTAGCTCAGCTGCATAAGCACCTGCCTGGCAAGTTCAAGGTCATGAGTTCAATCCCCATAGCCCTATCTTGAGGGTTGGGGATTTAGCTCAGCTACAAAGTACCTGCCTTGCAAGTACAAGGTTGTGATCTCAGGTACCGTAAGTAAATAATAAAAATTAAAAAACTATACTGGGGATCGAACTCACGACCACACATTTGCAAGGCAAGTGCTTATGCCGCTGAGCTAAATCCCCAGCCCCCCCCCCCCCGTTTTTGTACCAGCAATTAAACGTAGGACCTTGCACTTGCCAGGCAGGTGCTATGCTGCTGAGCTATATTATATCCCCAGCCCCCACAAAATCTGACCTTCTCTCTTTTTTTAGTACCAGGGATTGAACTCACGACCTCAAGTTTGCCAAGCAGACACTTACACCAATGAGCTAAACCCTCGGCCCTAAAACCTAATGTTTAAAGAAAATGTTCCTGGGCAACTCATTCAGAACCTCTCCTGTCTCTCAGGAGCTATTCCTACTTCCCATTACATTTTCCTACTCTAGAAAATAAAAATTGTTCTAAAGATAGACATTAAGGGCCAGAGATTTAGTTCAACAACGTAAGCGCCTGACTAGCAAGCGTGAGGTCACGAGTTCAATCCCTGGTACCTAAATAAAAGATATACATTGATATACACTGACATATTTAGGTGGTGACAAAGGGTCATGATCTCTGTAACTTATGCCAAAAGGTTTGGTAAGCTGAGGTAGGAAGTTAGAGGCCAGCCTAAGCTACAAAGTGAGTTTTGAGTTCAAGGCCAGCCTAAACTGTATAGTGAGACATCATCTCAAAAAAAAAAAAAAAAAAAAAAAAAAGGGGGTGTACATACTATATATAGAATATGGCTAAGCAAAAACGGCAAGCTGTTAATTTGTGAATCCAGATGAAGACGAGTACATGGGAGTTCACTGCACTGTTCCTACAATTTCTCTGTAAATTTAATTTTTTTCCAATTAAAAGTGAAAGTCCCTCTTACCACAGACTTGGGATCCGTGCTGTGAGCTACCTTGCAGTGCTCCACAAGTCCTTCCTGATCAAAGTTCTTCTCGGGACAGTAAGGGCAAGGAAAGGTGTAACGATTTGGGACGTTCCTGGAAAACAAAGAGAGACTCTGAGACCACTCCCAGGCAACTCCTCTGGTGTACCCCAACTGGAGCAAGGCCAGGACTCTCACCATCTCCACAGAACCAGGTCACGTGTGGCGGACAACAGCGCTGCTAACACTGGAAGTAACACCACATCTACACCAACCTGTACCAGCTCTGACCAGCATTAACATTTACCCCTCTACTTTTCCAAACCAGTACGCCTCAGCCCTCGAGGGACACATGGTACCCAGAAAGTGAACTTCAGGAAGAAGGTGACAGTCGTTTACCTTGGCTGAAAAGATGGGTTCATCCTGGCAGCCTTTACACCCTCCATGATGTAATTCTGGTATTTGGAGCAGGTGGCCACATGAGCCCGGATCTTAGACAGGAAGAACTTGAAAAGGAAGAATCAGAACCCTCAAGTTAGTGGAAATCTTTTACCAGGCAGAGTCCTAAAACAAGGGCAATCTACACCACCCTAAGTGACAGTCTCACCGTATTCCTAACCACCCCAGTGGGGTGAGACCCTGAGTTCTGTACACTGTCCACTAACGGCAAGGCTAACACTTTACTAGGCCAAATCACATCTACTTCCTCTTAGAGACCTGCTCCACTCAAGATATGCTCTCCATGTACAGACTTGCTCCTAATTGTTTTCTGTCTTGCATTTAGACTAACCTTCCAGCAAGCCAACAGCCACATTTCACCACGTCTGGCACTGAAAACTAATCAGTGAGGTAACAGGGACACAGGTTAGTAACCCTAACCAAACAAAGTATAAAGCACGAGGTTAGGATGAATGAAGGGGGGTGCTGGGGATTTAGCTCAGCGGCATAAGCACCTGCCTTGCAAGCAGGCGGTTGTGAGTTCGATCCCCGGTACCGGCAAAAAAAAAAAAAGAATGTTTAGGATGAATGAAGGGGGTAGGGACTAGAGAGTTGAATCCAGATCAAAAATGCTAGTCAAGTGTCCTATGCCTAAGCCACATTCCCAGCCTTTTTTTTTTCTTAACCTTTTTGAGACAGGGTCTCACCAAGCAGTTAGGTGGGCCATGAGCTCACTTTGTAACCCAGGCAACAATAATCCTCCCACTTCAGTCTCCTGAATGCTGGGATTATAGATGTGCACCACCACACCCAGCTTCCCAGCCTTTTAAAAACTATCTTGAGGGTTGGGGATTTAGCTCAGCTACAAAGTACCTGCCTTGCAAGGGCAAGGTTGTGATCTCAGGTACCAGTAAGTAAATAATAAAAATTTAAAAACTTTATCTTGAGACAGAAAATTTTATCCTGAGACTAAGTTATGCAGTCTGACCTTGCAACCTCAACCTTTTGTTCTCAGTGTAACTAAATGGGATTATAGGCAGGTACTACTATACAGGGATTAACTGATGATGCTGAAGAAACTGAAACCTGAATTAGGTCATATAAAATCTACAATGTGCTACAGAAAGTCAGATGGAGAAACAGTGTTTCACCACAGGTGCTCTCCACCCTCTCACCTCTGCAGGGCTGGGGTAGGAGCCAAGGTCTTCATGCTGAGCCATATTCCTTGACCCATACTGAGCCATATTTCTTATTCAACCTTTATTTTTATTTAAATTTGTTTTCGGTACTGGGGATCAAACTCACAATTGCACACTTGCAAGGCAGGTGCTTATGCTGCTGAGCTAAATCCTTGGCCCTCGATCTTTATTTTTCAAGACAGGATCTTGCTAAGTTGCCCAGGCTGGGCTAGTAATCTTCCTGCCTCAGCTTCCCAAAATTTTGGGATTACTGGTGTGCACTATTATCATGCATGATCTCTATGCAAAGATGGGAACTGAATGCAGGACCTCACACACGCAAAGCACATGCTGACACTTTTGCTGCTCTGGGACAGGACTCGGGTCAGACACACTGGTCAAGCTCTCCTGCTAAGGTACATGCCAGCTCAGATATGCTCTTTTCTTTTCCCATCTTAGGTGTTCTTAAAAAGTGTAAGGAATGAAGACAGGGGGAGAAAGAGAAAAATAATTTTGAGGTGTGCCACACTAAAATCACTGATTTTTTTGAGGCAAGGTCTTGAACTTACAGCACTCCTCCTCCCTCACCCTCCAAGTGCTGGGATTACGGGAGTGCACCAACATACCAGGCTTCCAACAATCACTAATCTTTTTTGTTTTGGCACTCAAGACCTTGTCCTTGCCTGGTCAATAATCATTGAAATGAAGAAAAAAAAAAAAAACATAGGGCAGGGGTAGGGGTGAGAACACCACGCATGCAAGGATGAAGCAATAGGAAATCTCTCTTAAATTTCTAGGGCCAGGGATTTCGCTCATTAGCACAAGCACCTGCCTGGCAAAAGCAAGGTCGTAAGCTTGATCTCCCCAAAAAGAATAGTTTCTAAGTAAAAGAAGCTAAGAAAAAAAATCTTATTACCTAAGCTGTGGCTTACCTTGATAACTGTCTTACCTCGGGCTCATGAACTTGTCGACCTTAAGCACTAACCAAGGTGCCCCCAATACACAGGATGGGAAGCAGCCTTACTCCGCACTGCAAAAGCTCCGCTGGGCGCCCCTAACGCTAACTCACTGTGAACGGAAGGAGGAGGCAATGCATATCTGTGCTGTGGCCACTCCCATGGCAGTGGTAAACAATGAACCTGCCACAGAAAGCTGTCCAATAAGTCAGTGAGACAGAATCTTCAGAAGTGGAAAAAGCACAAGAAATATGTATAACATGATCCCATTAGGTTGGGTGTTGTGACACAAGCCTAACCCCAGCTCTCGGAAATTTGGGGCAGGGTTACTCCAAGTTTGGCTACAGAGTTAAAGGCCAGCCTGAACTTCAGAATGTCTCAAATAAACCCCAGAAAGATCCCATTAGTTTTGTTTTTTTTTTAAATTACGTTTGCTAATACCTTTATATCCATTTACCAAAGACTAGAAGATGCTAGGCAGCCTTCTAAATGGAACTACTTTTGAAGTAATCATCTCAGGAGAACAAGCCTACAGTACTTTATATTTTTGTATGGTCTGGAATTAGTAACATTACCATGACTGAAAAAAATCAATGAGGCGATATACATTTCTTAAAATAGAAGTCAGTAATTTTCCTTTCTAGCAGCAGTTACACTTGACTCTAACAGTTTTACAATGGGTACTTTTCACATGTTAGAAATTGCTACGATTGCACATTAACTTTTATACATGGTTCCTCCCTGCCAAGTACTAAAAAATGGAACCAAACAAATTTTTTTTCTTGTGGTTTGAGACGGCCTCAGTGAGTCCAGGCTGGCCTTAAACTCACTACGTAACCCACCCTGGTCACAAACTCTCAGCTGTTCCCTCGCCTCAGCCTCCCCAGGGCTGGGATTACAGGTGCTAACCATACCCAGCTTGAACCATTAGATTTTATCCACCTAGTGACGTGGATTATGAAGACTCCCTTCCTACTTCATGCGGCAAATAAAAACCTGAGTTACTAATTTGATATTCTTTAAAAATCATGATATTTTGAAAAACTGATTACAGGAAAAAATAGGGGGGGCTGGGGATTTAGCTCAGCGGCATAAGTGCCTGCCTTGCAAGCAGGCAGTTGTGAGTTCGATCCCCGGTACCGGTAAAAAGGGAAAAGACCAAAAAAAAAAAAAAAAAAAAAACAAAAAAAAAAACTAGGGTAAGTGATCTACATGGCTTTCATAGCCAAATATACAACAGCCTAAACTACCTCATTAAAAAAAAAAAAACCCCAAACCAGTGAGGTTACAAAGATGCAAAGAGCAGGGCTGTCCCCACAGATCCAGGCATGCAAAAGTGCTATTAGTCAGTCTCCTAGTCATGCTCCAACTTCAGAGGTGATGTGGCCACGGCTTTACCCCTCGTCTCCACCAAGACACGGGCTCTGTACGGTACTCCCACATACGTTCTTACGGCAGCCATGGCAAGTAGTCCCCGTGCTCTCGATCTGCCGCTCGAGCTCCACAGCTCGGACGCCAGGTGCCAGAGCGCTGCGACACACCCCACAGACAGGTTTCTTCGGCTTCAGACATTCCTGCAGGCATGCAGAGCAAAAGCTAGAACAAGACACACAGAGAACTTCCGTCATGCATCGTGGAGACAAGATGACAAATGGGGATCAACTTTTAAAAAGACATCAATGAATAATGGATTAAAAGCTCATTCCCTATTCCCAATTCAACCCTTCTAGGACAGAAAAATTGCAATGGGGTGGGTGCGTAGAGAGGGACTGAGAAAAACACCTGGATCCATCAGAAATAAATGCAGACTACATTTCTGCATGATCTAGAGAAAGACATCACGGCTAGGGGCCCATATTTTACCGTCTGCCACTGAGGCATCTTTGGCGGGTCAGTTTTCTCTGCGAAACAGACAGGTTTCTACCTCCAGGATTGTTGGAGACAGATTATGTCTAGCAGAGTCTTCCTACAATGTGTAGCACATATAAAATGCACAATAGGGCTGGGGATTCAGCTCAGCAGCATAAGCGCCTGCCTGGCAAGCGTGAGGTCGTGAGTTCAATCCCCAGTACCGCAAAAAAAAAAAAAAAAAAAAAAAAAAAAACAGCACAATGGGAACTGCTACCATTAGGGGTAAAAGCAAAGTACTATGGGAAAATAAAGGAGGGCAGCTAGTTACAACCAAAGAACAGGGCTGGTAATCCTTCAGGCAATCTCTACCTTAGCCTCTGAAAGAATTCACCTGCAGACAAAGGGAGGGCTTATTTTAGGTCTTTAACACTTGAAATTTATAACATACTTGAGAGAGACTTCCTCTTAAGCAGTAGGGAGACACAAGATTTTATTTATTACTGGGAGTTGAACCCATGGCTCTCACAGGCTAGGCAAAAGTTCTACTACTGAGCTACAACCGCAGGCTGAGCCAGAGGCATGTTCACGATGGGGCACCAAGACCAAATCCAAGTTTCACAAAAATAACCCTGGTGAACCTGGACAAAACTGTTTGTTTTTTAGGACAGGTGGTAAGAAAAAAAAAAAAGATTAATGATAGATGAAGACAAGAGATGCAAAGCACTGCTGAGGAAAATGAGAATGAACTCAGGAAATGGTTCAGAGGCAGTCAATACGGTTTAGTAACTTCCCAATTTGGAAAAGCCAAAGATTATGTTTCTAGGCAGGTGGTGACCCTGAGACCGAGTACACAGAAAGAATGATCACAAAACATGAAAAAACTATCAGCTACTTAACCTGGTAGATTTTTCAACTTTTCTTCTGTTTTGGCTTTTTGAGACACATACTTCAGGATGGCCTTCAACTAAGTAAGTGATCAGCCTGTCTCAGCTTCCTCCATGCTGGGCTTGTAGGCATGGCCACTACACCCGAAAGTTTCAAATTTGTGGCTCAAGTGATCCTCCCAACTCAACTTTCAAATAGCTGGAACTATTTGAAAGGCCTGTCCCACCACACCTGTCTCCAAATGCTAAGATTTTAAGGCAGGATTAACAAAATCTGTCCAAAAACTCAGGACACATAATCAAAGGCAATCTTCTGCAAACTTGATGACTGTTTTCCTATCTCTTAGGAATTTCTTTCCTCTTTGTCATTAAACTAGATGTCAGTGCTGCTAGGCAAAATTCCAACTAGGCTGGGAGGTGACAGGGCCTATTCACTTACTTCTGAGAGCAAAGTAGAAAGGAAACAAAGTCATTGTGTTCATAATGGTACATTCTAGAATACAGTACACTGCATGTTCATCTCATAGTGACATATGAAGCAAGGCAACAGACTGGCTGTCTAGAAACAGGTGCCATTTTAATACTGAGACCTGATTAGGATGACAAAGATCTGAAAGCAAAACGTTCCACAAAGACGTGATGCCAACTGCAAAGGAGTGTCTGAAGGGCAGAGAGGAAGCCCCGAGGGGCTGTGGGGGGAAGGGAAGGGGCGGGGAGCAGACCCTACAAAGACAGGTGGTGAGGTGGGTGGGGCCGGGGCAGGAAGCAAAGCCTGGGGGGGGGGGCCATTGCTGTGCAGCCTCTGGCGGGCTGCGTGTGGGCAGCAGCAGCAACTCAGTGATTACTATGTGGCACAACTGGCCTATCAAAATGTTCAGAAGCCCCGTTATGTCTTGAGTTACAGCCAAACAAGTCCTCCCTCCATTAGGGGGCCACTCAGGATCCAACCTAGAGTATCTGCACTGACTACACCCCAGCCCTTTTTATTTCTCCATTTTTAATTTTGAGACAAGGTCTCACTAAGTCCTCAGGGTAGGATCCTTCTGCCTCAGCCTCTCAGGGTGTGGAATTACAGAAATGTGCCACCATGTCCTGCTTCAGCAAGTCTGCTTTTAAACTGCTTCGATGGGTTTCAGTTTCTATTTCCTCCTAATGGTTCTCCTTCAGCCTTCTAGAAACTCTACCTTGTCAAGAGTGCTGTCTGTGCAGAAACTTCCTGTCTTGGGCAGTTAGCCACCAGCCTTTCTCCAGTTTTATTTTTCAAGGTAAATACAAACATTCAGGGCTTGAATTAAAGTTTTAAAAAAAATCCAGTGTCTCACCCACATCTGCCATGATGCTCAAGTTTCCAAGCACAAGAGTTAAAAATCAAGTAGGTAGAGCACAAAGCACTTGGCTGGAGCTAAGGAAGATTTCTCCTGCCTGTATCAAGGAGCCTCCATCTGTCCTCAGAAGGGAACTGAACACTCGGAGCTCTGAGCTCTAATGAGAAACCAAGGCATGCTGAGCCCACTGCCTGTTCAGACGTTAATACCCACCCACACAGAGCCTCGCTGACCCCTCAAATCCTCCCAGTGCACAGTGCACTTGCACAACTGCTTAAACTTGATTAGTACTTATTTGTCAACAATTCGCTGGACTGTAAACTCTGAGGGCAGAATCACCTTACCTGACCCAACAATGTGCTGGAGAGGGGGCATTTGGTCGAGTGGACAGCTGGAATATAGGGTGCAGACAGTGTGATACAATGAGGGGCCAAAAGAAATGGTCCTCATTGCCCTTGTGAACCCTAAGTACTGCTCCATGAAAGGAAAAGGTAAAGGAAGCTCCAGGGAGAGAACAGAGGAAGATAATTTAACCCGGGACTTGAAGTTTGAGAGGGGTTAGTGAGAGGTAAAGATGGGGCGGTGGGAAGGTCCAGAGTAACCGACCTGCAGAGAAGTAGTCTGAAGCTCGAAGAGCTTCGTGTACCTGAAGCAGCAAGCGACAGACACTTGTGTGCAGCCAGTGGCTGCGGAGCCCTCGCCAGTGGCAAGCAGCGTTGGCTGGGTTAACAAAATAGGTGCCTTTGGTTCAGCTGGGCTGAATTAGGCATCTGAAAAGCCTGTCCCGAGTTTATCCACCTGGGTAGGCCGCCAACACCCTCCCTGATCTTGCAACAGAGACACCTGAGGGAATAACGCCCTGGGTCCCAACAAGTGCCTACTATGTCTGCTGATGGGCAAACGGGCTCCCAAGGCCTATGCCAAAGAGATGCCCACGACAAACATCGAGGATGGCCACGGAGAAAATGTTAACTCCGAGATAAAAGGTCACATCCTTATGATCTTTCGGCTGTGTGTGTGTGTGTGTGTGTGTGTGTGTGTGTGTGTGTCGACGCAAGGTTTCTTATGTGTGTGTGTGTGTGTGTGTGTCGACGCAAGGTTTCTTGTGTGTGTGTGTGTGTGTGTGTGTGTGTGTGTGTGTGTGTGCGCGCGCGCAAGGTTTCTTATTTCAATCCCCTCAACCTCAAAGCACCTGGCAGCCCAGGGCCTGTGGCGGCCCCGGTTACACCTTTCATTGTCACACTTGGTCCGCTCGCTAACAGGGTGCAGGCCATCAAAACCAGAAGGAAACCGGCCTCGTACGCCAGGAAGCCGCAGCAGCAGCGCCAGGATCCCTACCCGCCACCCCCGCGCCCTTCCGCGTCCAAGCCGGGCTGCGGAAGGAACTGCCCTTTGTTCCTCAGCCTTGTTATGTGTTTCTCCAACTTCACTGCACTGGAAACACTCACCATAGCTGACACGGGCGCCCGTGGGCCACACTTAAGGCTGCGACACTCGGGCAATTCGAGGGGAACCGTGGCTGCGCCAGGGCGGACCCCGGACCCCGCCTGGCCGCGGGCCGCTGCGACTCCGCGGTCGCTGTCGAGGAGCCCAACACGGCGGGCGCCTGCGGCCCAGGGCCGGGACGGCGCGCCGGCTCGCTCGGCGTCGGGAAAACCGGGCGGAGAGGGGAGGCCCCACGGCCGTCGGTTCTCTCGCCCCCGCCTCAGACCGGCCCGGCTCCATTTCAACCCGGACAGGCGTCCCCTCCACCCCGGCTCGCCACTTACATGTGTCCGCAGGGCACCTGCATCGGCTTCTCGTACACTTCCAAGCACACAGGGCACGTGAAGCGGGCCACGGGGTCGGGCATCAACATGGGCCCCACCAGATCCTTGAGGCCAGCCCAGGCCGTCTCCGCCACCGACGCCATCTTACCGCCGTGGACTGTCGGCCAACGTCCGCCCAGGATAAAGAGCTCGGGGGCGGGGCCTGAGCTCGGGGGCGTGGTTTCTGGAGGGCGGGACTTCCGGCGTCTCCACAACCCTAAGGCTATTGGTTCTGCTAACAACCTGATCTTCAAGAGGGTTCCTCTTCGGTTAAGCCACCATAGATTACACTTTTTTTTTTTTTTTTTTTTCAGAGATTACACTTTAACGGGAACATAAAAACAGGGTTCAGCCACCTTATGCTCGCATTCTTCACCCACAGGAACTGAGACAATAATTCCTATTGTGTAAGGAGCCACAGGCATAGTGGCTGTGTCCCAGCACATAGCAAGCTGAGGCAGGAGGACTGCTGCACGACTAGTTTGGACTGCATGGAGAGACCGTATCTCTCTCTCTCTCAAAAAAAAAAGTTTTGGGGTAACTTGTTATGTAGCAACAGATTACTAATACAACCTTATTGGACAGTTTGCTTATAATTGTTAGATTTAAAATTTTAATTTACCTTTTCTGTTTTCAAGATTTCAGGGTTGTGCTGTGCAATACTTGTGGCTATGTGAATTTAAATACATTTAAATTAAACAGCAGGGTGTCGTGGTGAATACTTAACTCAGCACTCTGGGAGCACTGGGATCAGTGTGGTTTAATCATCAGTGTTGCAAACAAAAAAAATTAGAAGTTGAAGACTTCAGTCTCATCACCCATATTTCTAGGTCGCAGTAGACAGAGTAGATCCAGAATGTTCCATCACTGAAGACAGTTCTGCTGGACAGTGCTGCTGTGAACAGCTCACTGGTGTTGGATGGGCATCTACATACAGATAAACAGGGCGGCACTTGTCAGAATGAAAAGAGGCTGAAGGTACCTTATGTAATGACCAGGGGTTAAATAAACACAGTAGATACAATTGGTGATTCCTCAAGTCCAGGACAAAGCATTTGGTCCATGTTGGTTTGCTGCTGTGTCTTTAGCTTCTAAAACAAAGGATTTGCTGCCAGGGATTTGGGAGACTGAGGCAGGAGGGTGGCCTTGAGTTTGAGGCCAGCCTGGGCTGCATAGTGAGTTCAAAGTCAGCCTGATCTACAAACTGAGACTCTGTCTCAAAAATAAACAACAACAACAACAAAAAATCCCAGAAGATTTTATTAATCTGTGTAGATCTGGAGCCAGACATGGTCGCTCATACTTATAATCCCAGCACTCAGGAAGCTGAGGCAAGAAGATTGCTCAGATACCTTGTAACTGGGGGAAAAAAAACAATCTCCTGCTTCATTTCAGGCCAGATCTCAAGATGAAAGACAAAACAAATGCAGCCACATCCTAAGGATAAACATCAGGGATTGATATTCTAAATAGGTTTTGAACAGTTTGAGGAAGTCAGAAGCTACTAATCCAACGCCCTACAGGCAAAGGCCCTGTTGCCACTTGCTAACTGCCTCGTTTTCATATTGGATCCCAATTTAATGAATCTTGATAGAATTTTAGATGCTACTAAAAAGATAGAAATATGAAATAAAAGTGACTTTTATTCCAAGAATACAGAAAAAGAACCCCTGGCCACTGAGGTCTGGCTTTCTCTCTGTGGGACACGTGGTATGGGGGCATACATGTAACAGGTTTGGGCTGGAGCCTAAGGGGCATTACTGATGCACAGGTAGCTCACTGGAATTTATTTCACACCACAGGTAAATTGCTTAGGGGCAGGGAAGGTGACCTTCAGCCTCCCAACCTCCCACCACTGCAGCGTCCCCTTTAGGGCAAAATCCTTTCATTCCCTTCTTTTTATTATTAGCAAAAAGGGTGAAGTTTTTCTTTTTTTTTCTATTTCCTGCTGATAGGGGCACCATATTGGGGGTTTAGGAGGGTCAACGGGATGATGGTTGATGCCCATGCAGAAGCTGGTGCCAGGTGTTTTAGCCAGGACAACTTTATCACTGGTGAATGCCTGCATGTTAGACTGGAAAAACAAAGAGATAAGGTGTTATGAGGAGGCAGGCCACTATCATATTTAAGGACCCAGGTGAGGTAGAAGGAAAGGTGCCTTTGATTTAGACATGTCATTATTTCAGGACTATGTTGAGGTAGAATCATTGCCATAGTGAGGTAGAATTCTAAAAAATAAGTGTGGGGTTATGAGAGGTGATTACTCCCCCATCTGAAAGGGTAAAAGTTAAGAGGGTAGGAAGGTAAGGCTTGTCTCTGGTATGCATGATGTGGGAGTCTTTAGGAAAGACTGTTAAAGAGTCCTGCTGTAAAAAGAATCATTAATAGAATGTAAGGAATTAGGAACCAAATTGGATAACAAAACATGACTTAGCCTGAGAGTTGTGGCTGTGGGGGCCTTTGTGAACAGGAGACAGGTGGGCGACAGCAGATGAGATGACCACTCAGAATGATCAGATTTAGGGTGGGAGGGCACCACTTAGCCTGAGTGATGTGAAACCAGGATGGGAGTCCAGCAACTTTGCTGTACAGGTTGTCAAGCAGACCAGGTAGGGGCTGCTCCACCTTGGCTGTAGTCCTGTGGATTTAGAACATTTGAGATAAATTAGATCTCCTGGGGATCTGGAAGGATCTGGTTTGGCCCCTCCAGAGGGTTGAGGAAGGCAGAGATCAGCATGTTGTCGGAACAAGTGTCAGAGGAAGGAGAGGACTGGGATATAGTTAATGAGAGGAGGGAGACTTTGGGGAGGAGGAAGATTGTGGAGTAAGAATGGCCTGCCAACTGTGGCCCTTCCAGAGGGAGAACCACCAGTGTCTCCTGAGATCCGCGCCATGCTGGAACTTAGGGCCCTGGGAAACCAAGCAGGCAGCCTGCCTCCCTGCTAAGCAGTAGTGAACTACTGGTGCTTGGTCTAGTCAAACATCCCACTTCCCCTACCCCACTCCCCTGTCCCCCCCCCCCCATTAGCAAATGGGAACCAGAAATCTGGGCATCTCCTGGCAGGCTGACCATAGCAAATAAGGGGGACTTCCTTCTACCATCTCTTTGAAGGCAAATATTTTTATTACTGTTTTGCCTTATTCTGATTAATGGTATTTTTCTATTCAATATTCTGTTTTGATAAGTTCTATAGTGTTCTGTATTTCATTTTATTTTGATATACGTGATTGAAAGAACAACTATTGTAAAGCTAACTAAAAATACTGTTATACCTATTACTGCTATCCCAGTAACCTGCTGTGAAGTTTTGTACCAATTTCACTACAGAGTCTCAGTTGGCTTTATTCTGTCTTGTTCTGTTGTATTTTACTACTTTCAAAATAAAAAAAATTACATTCAAGAAAAAAGAGGGAACAATAGACAGTACAGATGAAAGGATAGAATATATCAATAAACAAATAAAATTGATAGAAAAGAATTAGGTATAGTAAAACTGAAAACTATAATACTGGAAAAAAAATGAATTAAAAAAAGAATGGCCTGCTGTACATGAGTTCAAAAGGACTTAAAAAGGTAGGAGCCCGGGGAAGTTCCCTGAGCTTGGCTAAGGCTAAGGGCAGAAGCTGAGGCCAAGGTTGGTGTAGTTCTAAAGTGAGCTTTGTATGGTGTGTCTTTATGAGGCCATTTGCCTTTTCTATTTTTCCTGAGGACTGTGGATGGTTTGGGATGTGTAGGCACCAGGTGATGTGTAATCTTGAGGCTACCTGTTGAGTGATCTGAGAAATAAAGGCAGGACCATTATTTGACTGAATACCCTGAGGTAGACCAAACCTTGGGATGATTTCCTGTAATAGGACTTTAGTAACTATATCAGGTCTCTCCCTGGTTGTGGGAAAGGCTTCTATCCATCCTGAAAAGGTACAAAGGTGAGAAGATATTTGAGAGTTTTGTGGCAGGGCATGTGTGTAAAATCTATCTGCCAGTCCTGACCAGGATTGTGTCCTCGAAATTGATGGGTAGGAAAGGAAGGGGGTGCTGTGTGTCCCTGAGGAGAGGTCCTGGCACAGAGATCACAGGTGTGAGTAACCTGAAGAATGATAGCCTTGGGGCTGGGGATTTAGCTCAGTGGCATAAGCACCTGCCTTGCAAGCAGGCGGTCGTGAGTTCGATCCCCGGTACCGATAAAAAGAAAAAGACAAAAAAAAAAAAAAAAAAAAAAAAAAAGAATGATAGCCTTTAGAGAGGGGTGTGTGTCTACCGGGGCTAAGAGTTTGGATAGGGCCTGTGAGCTTATGTCGAAACAGTTGTGTAAGTCAGTGCTGATGTCTAAGGCCTGCTGATCTGGGAGAACAAGTTTTGACCTCTGGAAAATCCATCCCTGAGTGTTTTGTGTGTAACCTGGTTTATGAAGTAGCTGTAGCTTCTCTGGTGAATAATTAGGCTGAGGTAGACTGTTTGGGACTAATGGGAGAAGATGGGAAGGATAGGGCCTTTGTGCAGCTAACTAGGCCTGTGAATCTGCAAAGGCATTGCATTGGGCAATAGGAGCTTCAGAATTCTGGTGTCCTCTGCAATGAATAACTGCTGCCTGCTTTGGGAGTAGTGTGCCTCTCGGAGTTTAAGGATAAGAGGCGCATTAATGATGGGGGTTCCCTGAGAGTTGATAAAACCCTTTTTTTGCCAGATAGAGGCATGAGAGTGTAAAATGCTAAATGTATACTTTGAGTCAGTGTATATATTTCTTTTCTTTTTTTTTTTGTCTTTTTCCTTTTTATTGGTACCAGGGATCGAACTCATGACTGCCTGCTTACAAGGCAGGTGCTTATGCTGCTGAGCTAAATCCCCAGCCCCAGTGTATATATTTCTGACTTTGTCCTTTGCTAGTGTAAGAGCCCTTGTAAGGGCAATAAGTTCTGCTCTCTGGGAAGAGGTCCAGGTGGCAGTGGATTTGCCTCTATAACTTGTGACTGGTTAACTATTGCGTATCCTGCCTTCTTTTGGTTGTCTGTGTTTGTTGAACTGCCATCTATGAACCATGTGTCAAAGGCCAAGGAGAGAGGTGTGCTACTGATGTGAGGGGAAGGGGTGGGAGTCATCTATAAAAACTCCATACAGTCATGGTGAGGATGGCCCTCTGAGGTGGGAAGTAAGGTGGCTATACTAAGAGG